CATCTTATGCTTACTAAGTAATGCGAGTAGAAAGAGCAATAAGGCTTTGATTCCTCAACATAAATTATTTCACTGGTGACTTGATTCTTCTCCATTGCCTACAAAATATAGTAAGTAGAGGTTTCCTTCTGCAAGTTAGTAGATTTTACTTAAAACATCTGACTCCTTGCCTAGAAGTCGTTCCCTCCTGCTTCACAGGTTATACTCATTTTGTAATGTAAGTTTGGGTGTGTGCGAAGACATAGCACCAGCCTATTATATAAACTGATGGGATGTGACATGACTTTTCTCTGTACTTGATTGTTCCACAGTAAATTCCCAAGCACTATAGAGTTTTAGTCCAAATGAATTGTTTTCCTCTCAAAACCCAAACAGGGTAATAATGAACTACTTCCCTGTACTTTTTTTTTTTTTAAATCAGATAGCTCTTTATGAGTTCTAAATGTTCTGTCCAGATTCAAAGAAGCTGGTTTCTTCACGAGTGGTTGAAATAAGACTTTTCTTGGAAACTACTGAATATGGATTAGTTGGATTGTTTCACAAGAAATAAAAAACAGGCTCTGGGGTGTCTACTTCAGCACTTAATTGGGTTAGCAAAGAAACTGCAAATGAGAGGTTTGCCTTTAGGAGGGAAAGGATGTTTACAGTCCTCACCCCCTCAGGTGGTGGATTTTAACCTAACTGTTCCTTAGTCTTCGAAAGCAGCCTTTAATTTAGGAACCATTACAAGAATCTATTAGAGCAGAAAATGTCAGGTTGAAAAATTAACACATGACAGGAGTTAATTAGAATCTAGCTTCTCATTAGATGCAAATGGGAAACTCCCCAACTGCCCAAACAGTTAGCTACAGTCATGTTTGTGGGCAGCTCCACAGTGTTTACTACAGTGAGAGTGGAAGGAGGGGGCTGCCCAGGCACTCAGGCCAGAGCCACTCAAGGACCAAGCCTGACCCTTAGGTTAACTATTCAGGTGTTCCTACCTTCTCCTCCTCTCAGGAAATGCTCTGAAGGTCGAGGGGGTGGATATGCCTCAGCTTGGAATTCCCTCAGGGAAGTGTTTTCTGTAACAAAGACAAACATGCCATGCCTGTCACCAGGGGCAGACTGTCGACTGTGTAAACCACTCTTGTGAGAAGGAGGATGAGGGGCTCCAGTCCATTCAGACTTCGCTCTACCTCTGGGCCTTTGTTTTCTTTCCACATTCAGACTGAAATGTGACTCCCCTGCCTTTCTTTTTCGGAAAATACCTGAGACTAGCTCCTTGCTGGGAAAGAAAAGCTGTTGACAGGAAAAGCTTCTGATGGGGAAAGGGTTTCCTCCAGTGTTCTCAAAGTAGACAGTTGCTGCAAGCAAGAGGAGGCTGGGATGCCAGACCTCGGAATGAGAGGTCCAGATCACAAAGGATCACCTTTAACTATGGCTTAGGCTGTGTGTCAAGCAGTTTCCTCTAAATGAGCAGTACTATAGACATAGTCTTTAGGGCCAGGCTGACATGCATCTATGTCCTTTTCCGGGACTTGCTGGCAGTCTGAACTTGGGTAATTTGCTTGATCTCTCACAATATTAGTTTCCTCAATCTGTTGTGAGAAAGAAATAATGTATATAGAGCGGCAGGTTAAGTCAGTGTCTGACACAGTAAAGATTCTACAATGAGTTGTTATTAATATAACAAATCACTTAATATTTACTGTGTTCCCTGTACACCAGGTCTCTTGTGGGAGATAGGTCCACCTCTTTGAGCTCAGGAAGTTCACAGTGCCATAAATCATGTTATCTTTTGCACAGGCAAGCTCTCCTCCTCACACTGCAAATACCCTAGAAGTGTCAATTACACACTAATTCCACTTTGTTGAGTAGGAAGGAATTCTGTAGGTCATTGCCCTTTGAGTAGCTACCCTAATCCAATCACCTCTGACGTCAATGTAAATATAATTCTCTATCTGTGTCTTTATCGCATTAAGTTATAGTTATTGTTTGGTTTCCTCCTGCAAGATCTGGGCCATGGTGGTCATTTTTACTCATCTTTGTAGCTCAGGCATCACCTGCAATACTTTTTATTGGAACATGTTGTTGTTATGTGCCATCAAGTCAACTGTAACTCATAGAAACCCTGTGAACATAGTGAACATAGTGACCTTAGGCCACCCTAGACCTAGAAGCTGTGCTGCAATCCCAAAGGCACATGGTTCAAATCCACCAGCTGCTAGGCGGGAGAAGGATGGGTAATCTCCTCCCTTGTCATTAACTGCCTCTAAAAACCTGCTGAAGGGTCAGCTGTCAGTCATTTCCAACTTTCCGGCACACATAAGCAGCAGTGTGGGTATGTAGATGTTCAGCTGGGGACTTGTCTAAGTAGAAAAGCCTGGCTCCATCTTCTCAGGTCCTCCATTGGGCTCTGGCTTCATTTGGCCTATCATTTTAGGTTTTATCTCAGTATCCTTATTTCTTTAAGGAGACAAATACAGCCTCCTTTACCTACACTAAGGAGCCTTGATGGTGAGGTGTACAATATATTGGGCTGCTAACCCAAAGAGCAACAGTTCGGATCTACCAGAGTCTCTGTGCCAGAGAGACCTCAGTCTCAGCCTGAAAAATTACAGCCTTGAAAATCTAATAAAGAACTGCCTACAGTCAGAACTAACTTGGGACCAAAGGATTTGTTTTCTGGAGTTTTGGAGTCCCGGTGGTACTGTCGTTAAAGCATTCAGCTGATAACCAAAAGGTCAGCAGTTTTAACTCAATAGTCACACTGTTGAGAGAAAGAGGGGGTAGTTTGCTTCCATAAAGATTTACAATTTGTAAATTCTACAGGAAGCCCAACTCTGTTCTCCAGGATCTGTATGAGTCAAAATCAACCAGATGGCCATGGACTTAGTTTGGTGTTAGGTTTACCTTCACTGGAGGGTTTTCATGACAATCAGAGGCAGCTTCTATGTGCCCAACACAGTTCTAGATACAAAGCCAAATACCAAAAATGCTAACTCTATTTTTTACCCTTACTACAAGAAAATCCATTTGTTAAATGAAAACTAAAAATACCACAAAGAATGGGTACTACACAGAATATGAACACCATGTGAGTGGTATAGACTTCCTTCCAGCTTGTACTGAGCCCCTGCCATGTGCCAGAGATAGAGCTGTAATGAGAGGATACCAAAAGTTCATAGAGTTGATACCAGTCACCTTGTTTTGGGAAAATGGTGACAAGTGATGAACAAAAGGATCTCAGATTCTCAGGCCCGGCTGTCAGTGAAAGGTCTATTTGGCAGCAGACTGAAAGGAGATTGTCTCATAGTTGTACTGAAAAGGACCATTACCAAGTTATCCATCCCTACTGTGTGCAGGACACCGTGCTAAGTAACTTAACAGACATCTCGCTGTGGAATGACAGTGTGAGGTAGATATTAACTTCTAAAGTACAGGGAGCTCTAGTGACTTCGTGGTAAGGCCGCAGCGCTGCCAACCCAAAAGTAAGTGGTTTGAATCTAGTAGCCGCAAGTGGACAAGCTCCTCCCCTGCTAGGAGTCCAGTCAGAACATTAAGAGTTCAGATCGAGGCTCAGAGAAGCTATGGTAAAGTAAAAGGTAGAGAGTTTAGGACATTCCACCTGCTGAGGATTTCACTGTAAAGTAGAGGGTGGACCAGCACAAAAGCCCCAGGGTAACAGGGATTGCAATCCAGGTCCCGTGATTCCGAGTTGCCCAGGACCCTGAGCAGCAGCAGAAGGAAGAAAGGTGGGCAGCCTGCAGGAAAGGGGTGTCCGAGAGGCTGGGGGAGGACTCTACTGGTTGTGTGCCTTTGTCACCCTCCGTTAACAGGTCAAGCCTCTCACCTCCCACCGCCCCCCACCCCACCCCCTGCCCTCCCAACCTTATTTAGAAACCGTGTCCCCGAGACAGGAAGGGCGGCGGGCCGAGAAGCACGGAGCGTCCCGGTCTCATTTCCTTTCGAATCCCCCTGTGGAATTTCATTTCATACAGTGAAGGAAACCCGAGCGCGAGAGCGCTGCTGGTCCGGGGCGCCTCCCCCACTCCCCGCCCGAGGCGAGCAGCTCCCGGGTGCAGATCGGGCGGAGCCGGAGGCGGGGGAGACGCGGGCCCGGCCGCAGCCAGCGGGGAGTGAAAATAGCTGCGCGCTCCGGCTGTACCAGGCACGGCGCTAAGCGTTTTACGCCTGGCCTCTAATCCTTCCAAGTCAATTTATGGATGAGGAAACTGACGCCGAGAGGCTGGGCAATTTTCTCAAGGTCACACAGCCGGAATTTGAAGTCACAACCCCATGTTCTATTGTGTATGTTGGCGAGGTGGTGGTGGGCCCAGGTGACAGCTGGAAGGGAAAAAAAGGGGGCCGGAGCGACCAGGGAGCGCTTCTCACCTCGGGGAGCAGGGGGCGGACTGGCCAGGAGGAGCGCGCAACCCCATCCCCTTCTGGCCCCAGCTCGGGGCGCACGGGGTGGGAGGAGAGCAAGCGCGGGGCAGCGGGGCGGGGCGCTCCGGGGAGGCGGGGAGGGAGGCCGGGATGGAGAGGGGCGCGCGGGCGGAGGCTGACCCTTCCAGCGGGAGAGCAGCCACGCCTCGCGGGCCCGCCCACAGCCGCCCGAGGCGCCCAGCCATTGGAGAAGCGCGCTGTCGGTCCCTCGTCGTCCCCGCCCCGCGAACCTCCAGCGCCCGGCGCAGGACTCAGGCAGTGCAAGCGGCGCGGTGCTGGGTGCTGGCGGGCTTCGCTGGACGCCGGGTGGAGGCAACCGGCGCTCGGTGGGAGGCTGGCCGCCTGCAGCCATGACCCCTCCAGCCTGGTCTTCGGCCCCAGCCCGGGACATCTAACTCCCTCCACAGTCGCACACAGCTGCCGAGGAGCTGAACACTGCCCGATCGTCGCCCTTGGCGCCTTATCACACTCCCTTCCGCAGAACTGGGAGCAACGCGGGTAGCCAGAGCTCCTGTGCAAACTGGGGGTGTCTACTGGAGCAACCGCCGCCGCTGCCGCCCCCGGCTCTGGCTATGGCCCAGCGGGGCGCGGGGCCGAGAGTCATGGGGGGCCCCAAGGGCGTCGGGCTCAGTCTGCCGCGGCTGCTGCCTTTGCTGCTGCTCTTGGGGCGGGTGCAGGGCTTTGGGGACGAAGAGGAGCGGCGCTGCGACCCCATCCGCATCACCATGTGCCAGAATCTCGGCTACAATGTGACCAAGATGCCCAACCTGGTTGGGCACGAGTTGCAGACAGACGCGGAGCTGCAGCTGACAACCTTCACACCGCTCATTCAGTACGGCTGCTCCAGCCAGCTGCAG